TAGGGAAAAAGGCTAACATTTCTCTAAGTTAATTACATCCACTGATTGGATTACAGAGCCATAACCAATTAATCATTGCTCACCTAACAGCAGTATCCTAAATGCAGGAAAATTTTAAAGAGGCAAAATCCTTTAAAGGGCAGGGTTTTCCAACATAAGCCTACAGTGGCGTGCTTGTAGAATGAGTTTTCTCACTGTCATACTATTTGCCAGACAAACCTGGAGCACTTTATACATAGCAGGCACACACAAGGTATGGAGACCCTAAGATGAATAAGCTAAATTCCCTGCTCCTTGATAGATAAAAGGCAACGATGAGAAATAGCTACACCAGTAAATAATGGTAATATGACAGAAAACAGTAAAGAACTACTCTAAGGACAGAAACCTGATTATTCGCCTGTAAGAGTGGGGGATAATTTCAGAGACGATATTTGAACTGGATCATAAGAGAAATTTACCCAGCAAAGAGGTACAGAGAAGGGCATTTCAGAGAACTTCTTGTTCTTGGGATGGCCAAAAAGTTCATTCGGGTTTTTCCATAACATCTCACAGAAAAAACCTGAACGACTCCATACATAATTAAAGAACAGTCAATACAGACTTATTAATATCTACTGTGTACAAGTAATTACACAGTGGGGTGTGGGAGAGAAGCAGGGTAAGAATTACCACAAGTTAGCCAAAGAAGACGTGAATCCTCAAAACCAAAGTACTTCTTTGATACATTTAGCTAAATGAAAAAAAACTGGCGTTGTTTAAAAATTAGATTATTGCCATTTCAGCCTCTGTCTGTAAACCTTTCCTTTGCAAATAGTCTGTTTTTAATGAGACTTCAACCTTATTCTAAAAGCAGAAAAAGAGGTCTTTCAAAGACTACCGAAAGATCAATACACTTTAGAAAGGTGATATAGTATTGTGAATCTAAAATTTCCCACACTTGTGATAAGCAAAATAAAACAATAGAAAGCATAAGAAGTACTCTGAGCTTCTGGCTTTGAGAACTAGACTAGGCTAATTTGGAAACGAAGATCATTCCTACTAGTATTTTGTTTGTTTATTTATTTGATGGTTTTTTATTCTGCCCATATAAGGTAGAATTAACAACTTTGATTGTTTCAATGGCTTTAAATGATACTTACTTGGGAAATGTCAATTCATCCATTTGTAGAGAAATTACTCTCTACTTAATTTCTCAAAAAATACTTATTTCCTATAAAAGGCCAAAAAACTTAATGATTAAGGCTAATAGTTACCAAGAACCTACTGTATGTGCATGTCAGACATACAAGGTGTTACCCATAATGCTCCGCCTCTCTATCACCATTCAAGCATCCAACTCTGACCACAACCTTCCATTCTTCCAGCTTTCTTCCTAAATGATCCCTGCTCTGCCATGATCATTCATTCAACAAATACAAATATTTTACACTTACTCTGTGCCAGGCACTATTCCAGGGGCTGGGACTCATTAGCGAACAAAACAGTTTCTCTGCCCTCATGAAGCCGATTTGTATATTAGACCTCCTGGTGACCTCCAGTTAAGTGATCTATTTGCTCCCTATTCCTTAGCTTTTTCCTTTCCTTAGTTCTGTCCTTAACTAGCTTATTGACCATGACCCATCATTTCAACATCTTAAATTTCCCTGCCTATTTATCTTCTCATTTCACCCATCTAGCTATATATGAACACAAACATTTGCCTTTTCTGTGCCTTCACCCACCTACCCAAATGCAGTTGAAGGAATTATACAACACGGCAGATCAGTAGTTCCTCTGTAACACACTACTACCAGCCTCAAAAAGATCCTCAACAGCCTGAAATTCTCAATAGTTTTCTCTAGTCAACTCTATAGGAGGACTATTTTAACCATTCTACACAAAAACTATTGCTCAAATCTCCAATGCTCCATTTCCTTTTACTCTCTGCAAATGACCTCAACTTCAGCTTTACAGAGAAAACAGATGAAAGCGGTAAAGATGGGAAATTTATAATCTTATAGCAAACATATAAACCATTCTACTTTCCTATGCTCCAGTTACGAAGAGAAGCCATTCTTCTCAGCTAAGGTCAACTTCTCTATCTGGGCTTTCATCCCATTCCATTTCCTCAGGCCATCTCAGACCTGATTATTGCTCCTTCTTTCTCTTATGATAAAAGATTAGATTTCTGATTGTGATATTTTTCTCCTTTTAATGTAGGCATTTATAGCTATAAATTTCCCCCTAAGTACTGCTTTAATTGCATCCCATATTTGGTGTGTTATGTCTTCATTTTCATTCATCTCAAAGTATTTTGTAATTTCCCTTGTGATTTCTTCTTTGATCCATTAGCAATTGAGGAGTGCATTATTTAATTTTCATATACTTGTGAATTTCCCAGATTTCTTTGTTAGTGATTTGTGATTTCTAATTTCACTCCACTGTGATCAGAGAACATACTCTGTATTATTTCAATCCTTTTAAAATTTACCAAGGCTCGTTTTGTGGCCTAGCATATGATCTGTCCTGGAGAATGTTCCTTGTACATTTATGAAGAATGTGTTATTCTGTTGTTGTTGGGTGAAGTGTTCTCTAGATGTCTGTTAGATCTAGATGGTTTATATTCAATATACTAATCTTAAAGCATCTTGGCCCCTTGGTTTCTAACAGCCTTCACCTCCACTTAACTTCCTCTACATCCTGGTAATTGTCATTATCTTGAAGAGGGGTCAGCAAACTATAGCTCTTGAGACAAATACAGACCACACCCCGTTTTTGTAAATAAAGTTTTACTGAAACATAGCCATGCCCATTTGTTTACTTATCTATGAATACCTTCAAGGGCAGAGATGAGAAGTCTAACAGAATCCATATGGCCTGCAAAGCCACAGACATTTACTATCTTACCCTTTACAGGAAGTCAGCTGCTCCCTGATCTTAATCACATACACAGATTTCTTATTCCTTTCCTTCAAGATCTCTTACTTCCTTACTCCTAGGATAACTGTTCTGTCTCAGAGATCTTACACACTCCTTTTTTTCCTGATGCTTCACTAGCTTCATGGCTTTGCATCCTTCTTTGTCAGACTTTAATCGTAAACGACTTTAACCATTTTCACCAGACCCTCAGTGTTTTTGTATTTAGGTTCACCTATAAAGTCAACCTATAAACTTTTATGTTTGTTTCTTTCTATGTTTTTACTTTCTACATCTAAGTTGCTCTTTACTGGTGGAGAGTTAACATAACCAGGCATATTGGTGAAACGCCACAATCACAGTATTCAACTGCAGCTGGATCCTCACTGCTGGGAGGAAACTTTTACCTGTCCCTAATCAGTGATTTTCCCCACTCCCACAACTGATATCCCAAATGCCCACAACTCTCCTACAATCCCAATCCTTATTCCTTCCTACAAATCTTTTTGAAAATGGCCTTGACTTGCTTCCCAGTGAAAACTGAAGAGATTAGGAATGAACTTTTTCAACTTTAAACTCAGACATGAACAAAGACATCTATAGCCACATCTATCCTCACCTGTTTTCCTCCAGGATCTGAAAAAGAATTGTTCAAAGGTCATCCTTCTATCAGAGCTTTTAATCTTATTCCCCTTTGTCTTCACTAGGACCAACACTTTGTCCCATTGGTTATTTTCTTCTCTTTATACTTTCAGAGCTCTCCTAGAACATACCCCATAGTTTATGTGCAGGCTCTGGCCTTTCTCATATTAAAAAAGCATGAAAACTGTCTTTTGTACTACTTCACACCAGTTCATAGGAGTCAGTCAGTGAAAAGAGGCCAAATATTAAAAAGAGTTCAATTTCCTTGCCATCTCAGGGAGTGGGCCACTGTTGAGAACTGATTGGCCAACTGATCTGGCCTTGGAGCCTCTCAGGCTTCTGGAGGCAAAGTATGATTCCCTACCACTCCCTTATCCTTGACCTGGAATATTTGTTTTTCATCATTTGGACTATTTTATGGCAAAATTCTCCCAAATGTAACATTTCTAACTTCAACTTGACATTTAGAAGATAACACAAAACTTTAAATATCCTGGGGAATCTGCTAATTGACCTTTTACAGAGAGCATATATCATAACTATGGCTTTAACAAATAGTGTTGAAAAAAGGAACAACTTCTA